ATTGAAAACATGAAAAGTACCTATTACTAACCGCACCCCCAATTCAACAAGACCGTGACCGACTTTGTTTCAACGCTGGTACATTGTTCCTAATCCTATTCATTTGTTTCGACAACGTGCCTAAAAATATTCACACCTCTTTATTGTTCAGTAGTGTTAGGATGTCAAACACGCAGTGAAACTGCTTTCGTTCTTGCGACAACTTTTGTCAATACTCCTTATGAATACGTCCATGTGTCGCAAGTTTTCGACAATGAGTTATCACCGAAAAACTGTTAAATTCTTTTTCAATGCTCAGTTTATCTTTCGAAAACAACTCTTCTTGATTTAAAAAAAAAGTCATGTTGTTTTCCCATGGAAATCAAAGCCAAAAGATCGCACTACATTATCGGTAAATCACTTCCGTGTTTCGTTCACCATGAAGTCGGTGACCTGTCATTAACATATTTAAATGACTAAGGTAATTTGAACACATGGGCACTCCAATTTAGATGTCAGGGATGTCAGCATTTTGATTGGTTAATTAGCGACCTGACCTATCCAGTCAAGTAACGTCTCGTGTGAATTCAAACTACATGGCGGATGTTGTATCACATCGATCGTTTACATGTGACCAAAATAATTCGCTTACGGTGAAACTAAGTTGAATTTTACTTGCATTTGATAACAATTCAACGAATTTATTTTTCGTGCGTTATTATAATCACTACTGAATAATAATTAACAATTTCAACACTTCGAAAACAAGCAAGTTATTTACTTGTGAGCCGAAGCATGGCCGGATTGCGTTACCGTACCCACGGTACCATACTTTTTTAGTGTTGTACCATGATCATTTTCTACTTAGCAATGCATTAATTTTTGTTTTTATTTGAAACTCCTGTCAGAATATACTTTCCATTACGAAGAAAATTAAAAAATAAATGCATATTACATTAAATATACCGAGTATTTTTGTTTTTAATGTGAACATTTTTTTGTGACGTGACGCTTATCGCTCTTTCCTGACATCTAAATTGGAGTTACGCTTATATTCAAATAATTGTACGGTTTATTGTTTGTTTTGTGCAAGTGATGTGGGGGGAAAAATGACCACGCCCATTTAGTGATTGCAATATGGGGGTAATACAAACCGCACCCCGAACTTGAGCTGTTCATCCAAATTTTTTATTTGATACATTGTAATATAAACGCGGTTTATATTAGGATTTTAACGGTACATCTGTCAGATAAATAATTGTTCACTATTCAATTCATATCTATGGTCATTTCAGATTAATACTCTGTTTGGTTAGAATATTTACTATAAGAACCATAATACACGAAAAAATTAAAAAGCAATACAAAACAAATTGGTAGTTGTAACACCATTCTGATACTAATCCAATGTGGACATAGGCTCAAGTCTCTTTTAGTATACTGTTGCTGTGAACTTGTCTTACTCATCAGACCAACTACATAAATACATACATACAGACTGCTTTCTACTGTGGTATACTGTATTTTTTCCATTGGAAGCACATCTATAGAAGCACACATCAACTAAAAATGACATTATTGTATGCTGGATCATTGAAATATATTTCAATAATTTACATAAACACATGCGCTTTTAATAGAGAAAATATGGTAGCTTGTTTTATTATTATAGTGTGTTGTAATTAGTTGGTGAATTCCGTCAGCCTGATATGATTTGAAGTAGTTCGTCAGATATGGTTTGTGGCATGTACACCAGCATCCATACACCAGATGTTGTGTATAAAAAACAACCAGAACTAAATATAATAATTATTTTGTGTGTTAAAAATTTTATATTTATCCAAAATCATTATTTGATAGCTGGGTAGCAGAATTCAGAGATACTTGTAAGTAAATTCCTCTTGAGTTGAAATTTGTCTAATTTTACATATTGATGTAACTTACAGGGAAGCATACTATGAAGCCAAGATGAAACAGCAGCGAGGAGAACTAGAGAAACTGATGGAAGAGAGGCAAAGACTGCTATCTGTACAGTTCCAGTTGCAGAAATTAAATCGTCAAATGCCATCATTATCAGCCACATCAACTTCACTGGTAAGAAATATGAAATTTCATCATAAGCAATTTGACTATGAAGATATCATGCATATCTAATTCGTTTTCTTAATTCACTTGAGTTCTCTCATGTACTTAATTAATGGAGTAGTACACAGTTGTTCCTTCTACTTTACAGGGGAACACTCCCAGAGGTAGTAAAAATTCCAATCCTAGTAGTAGGAAAATTGAAGATAGCCCAAGGGTTTCACTACCTGAAGGGTCTGGTGAGTAATTACTTGATTTGAAATTAATTGGTCTGTGTCATACTCAAACTAGCCAACTTAGAGTAAGCCTTGGTGGTTGTTGATTTTGCGAAATGTAAGAAGGGGACGAAATAAAAAACAAATACATGATTATCCAGTAGGACATGACACCACCCGTCAAGTGCATCGCTTTTAATGATTTGCAGGACGATATGATATCATATTAAACTATTTTTATTCTTCTGGTTCTGCAGTCTCAGTGATTGAAATATTATTTACATTCGTGAAAATTTGGTTGTTTTCCAAAGAGTATTTCCATACAATCCCCTAACATTTCAATTTGGCTGTGATGCCAGGTGTACACTCATGTACAAATCAATTTCAGTCACCAAGATTTTGCAAGAGACGTGGTTTATATAACTGCAATTAGTTGCACATGTGCTTAGTGAAAGAAAGCATTTTGTGAACTTGTGATCACTTTATATTTTATTACATTACAGAAGTGGAATCTTCTAATAGAGAACTTTGGTCTGAAATGAGGCGACACAAAATACTAAGGGAAGAGCTGAGACAAAAGAGAAAAGAACTGGAAGAGTTGTTAGAAGAAAGTAGGAGACAGAGGGTGAGTTTTGTTTACACTTTGAGTAATCAATACAGTTGATTTGTCAATGGTTCCAGTTTCAGACTTTGTTTATTAGACAGGGAACACTCCCAGAAGGTCTACTAACTTTTTACCATGTAAAACCATACATGGGTATGGCCCTGAATTCAATTTTCTGACAATAAACACTGTTTGACCTTTGATTTTCTTACTGGTAATTTTCTCAACAGTGATGTGGGATGGTACAACAAACTCAAGCATATCTCAAGGTCTTGACTAAAATGCCTGTAGACTGTCAAAAACATTTATGCTTATTATTACAGCAAAGCTAATAACTTTATTGTTTTTCATTTTTGCAGAATTCTGCCGATACATCTGACCGTGGTACTTATTCCATTCAGAGTGATGGTAATGATGGAATGGGGTAAGTTTACTCATTGCTAGTCCATGTTTGAACGAAGTCCCTGTTCGATCTGATTGGTAGATGCAAGCAATTCAAAATTGTAACAAAAAATTACTCATTTGACGACTTAGCAATACTGGTAAATATTAATGTTGAAAAGTTTTGATTTTCCCCCAAATCAGCAAAATCGTTTAGTGATGGTATTGGATTTAATCAACCTGTTTAGTAATTTTCACATGTTTCTCGACAAAAGCTCTGAATATATGAAAATTACCACACTCCTTCAATAAATCTGATATCACATGATCACTCATTAGAGATCCTCTATTTATCCCATGGAACTGCCATTGTATATTGGATTAATGTGATTATTATGCTTGGATAGTTACAAATACGATAGTTACAAATACTAAAGTAATGAGTAACTGTATGTGTGCAGTGATGCGATTCTCAGCTCTATAAAGCTTAATTGAAATTAAGTTGTAACCAATTGTCTTGTTAAAACAGAATGAGTGCAGACGTGACCACTCAAGCCACATGGGGTGGCTCGACAACTCACATGAGTGACATGGATGATGAAGATGAAGAAGATGTTGATGATGGTTACCCTAGCGATGGTATTGTACAGGTTGAAGAAGAGGAAGAGCAAGAAGGTTCATCGGATCATGATACATACACGATAGAAGCCGACTACAGACATCGGTCACGGAGACCTCTCACACCACCTGATTTAACTTTCATCAGGAATAAGAAAAGAAAACATGAAGAAGGTTAGTTTATTTGTCCTTCAATTATGGAGTTCACTAACAGATCATTTCTAATGTTATTGAAGTCTATTCTGTGAAATATTTGATGGTCTAAGTTTGCATGAATTACAGCAAATATGAATGTAACATTTAAATTTCATTTGAACTTTTATTTGCTTATGCTTTTGAATACTCAGTAGTCTTCCAATATGCTTGGATTCAGGAATCATCTCCTGTATAATTCATAAGAACGGAAAATCATCAATTGTTTCCTGGCATATTGTATTCCCTATTTTCTAATTATAAGAATGTTCTGAGTGCAAATTTAAAACCGTGGAGCTTGTGCTGCCTCTTGATAGCTTCTGAAAACATAATTACCATAATTGTTAATTTTTACCAAAAGTTTTGCATCACCAACTCAGCAGGCATTTAAATACAGATTTTATGAAGAACGTGCTTAAAAAAACTATCCAGAATTGTTTACACATGTCTTGATGATTAGCACAAAGCAAGATTTGAATAATATGATGTACGTTATTGATGTGCAAGATGTTTTCTATTCACAGATGATCCAACTAATAGGCGACCCTACAGACCAAATAACCTGTTTAGTTCAAGGCGGGCATTTAATACCAGTAGAATGTCTGGTTCTGCAAGGCAGGAGGTGAGAACGATTTGTTGTATTATGTGTTATTGCATAAAAAGACTTGATGAAAGTAGTGAAGTCGTGTATAGCATGTTTAAGTAGGGACTGTCTGGTGACCTGACTAAATGCTTTATATATGATTCTTTGCCATAGTTGGTTGATATAACTGTTTTACACATGCACCCACATCCTCATTCTGGTATTGTTTCTGTCCTCGGAGCATGTTAATCAACTCAGGTGTTTCTTTTTTCAAAGTCAAAAAGCTGGGATTCTGGATCTGCAATTAACATCATCGCTTTTTGATCTGAGTAATTAATAAATAAATTTAATAATTTGACCTTTTCAACACATAGAACGTGAGGTCAGCAGAAGAGCTGATCAGAGAGGATGAGAGAAGACGCAACCCAACAGAGACTGAGCGGCAGCTGTTGTTATGGCAATGCCAGCAGTTACAGCAACAACTAAATACTAGTACCAATCTATGTCATACTCTGCTAAGAGATCAACAATCAATTATACACCTTTTGGGTAAGTAACAAAAGGGGTTCTCACACTTGAAGTCGTTGAGAATCGTGTGCCACTTTCTTTGCATTACTTGCAGTGCTGTCATAGAGAGTGAGCCGTTTTTTCTATCATATATTTCTCATTTCACCACCAAAGACGATGACATATTCTGTATTTAAGTAAATTTACAGCTGGATGAATTTCATGACAACATACATCTTTCAAGGATGTTTCTTTTAGAATCTACTTTATTTGAATAATAATATAAATCAGTTTTAAACATATAAAATAATGTTGGAATGTAAGTGTTTTCCTTATTGGAAAGTTTAACACCAATTGTGGCCTACTGTGGTTCAGTAATATTGCTAAACAGATACGAGTCTGTGATACATGTACCTACATGTGGGATCTTGCCAGGTGTTTAATATGGTCAATTAGACTTACATCCTTTGTTGTGATGACCATTTTCTCAGAAAATTACACACGGCTGGTATCATTATGAGACATCATCTGTGTTATTGTAATATTTTAATACTACCCACAAAAGTTTTACATTTTGTAAAGGTCTTCACTCAGCTATGCTCTTTTTTTTTTTAAGGCCTTGTATGTATTAGAATTTGTTTCATGAAGTTCACCAATTCAAAATTATATTCTCACATTTGGCAATTTAATCTTTTCACTTGTTCACATCAGGCCATAGAGCAGATGTCAGTTTAGATGTGTGGCTGTACTGAATAATATAACTGCAAATTCAAAGAGTTGCAGACGATTACATGTTTTTGTTTAATAATATAATTGTAATTGTTTAAAATTTTTAAAATGGTGAAGTAAAAAAAATAATTGGGTTTGAACCCCCTGAAGTTTGATGAGCCGTGACTGTTTTAGTGTTGTGATATTGTTTCCATCTGTTTGAGCAGCTTCATGATCAATTCGTAAAAGTTCAGATTTGAATAAATAATTTTTACAATCTTCAAATACAGAGCTGTCTAGAAACATAGATTAATTCTATCTTAGGGATGTGAGATCATGTTTCACTTCACTTAACTCCACTACCATAATGACTGGAAATGTCAGGGAACAATCTTGCGTCAAGTTTGGCTTCATTAACTCTACTTCTGTAATGACTGGAAATGTCTTTATTTACAGGGAACAACAATCCAACATTTAGTAGTATTGGAGGACCATACACCTTACCAACACCAACCGGTACCAGCCCATCACCTTTCACGCCGACATCGCCATATGGCGGTGATTCACTCTCCAATTATAACTTTCAACTACAGCAACAGCAGCTTCTGCTAAATATTAACCATGCTTATAATCAATTGTACCAGCAACAGTTGGAAATCCGTGCCTTACAAGAACACTTTCAACAGCTGACAACAAGAGACAATCATAACCATAACAATTCCGCCCTTGATGATTTAAGGTACGGGGAATACGACAGCGACCGACCTAGTTTGTTTGCCTCGCATTTCCAAAGCCCTCATAGGTTAACAACTTTCAATCCTCCATACGCCACAATGAATTCTACATTCAACCTCTCACCCCAGTTTCCATCCACTTTCTCACATCCAACTAACTATGCAAGTGCACACAATGAGAGACTTTACGATTCCGGGAATCGACGAGCAGCTGAGGCAGCCGGATACCCAAAGTATGAACGTCAGGACGCCAGTACTAGGTATGATTATTTGAGACAATTTGAAGATGCCAATCAAAATCCGTGGCAGAATGATTCAATCCGAACGTTTCCACGGAGACATGAAGCAGAGGATGATGAAAATGAGGAGGAATGTTATGAAGATGATGATATAGTGAATCAGCTGAACCAGCCCCGGATTCCACCGCTCAATTTAGCAGAGATTCTCAAAAGAGCGTATGTATTTATTATATATTTTCCACTACTCTTTGATCTAGTGTGGAGAAAAACTATTTTTGCAATAGTTACTTTTCTTTCTGGACACATTGCTTCATGATTACTGTGAACAAGGCTTGAGCTTCACAGAGGCGTCAAAGCCCGAGGAGTGAGCAGTTGTAACCTTGAAAATCCTTTCTCTTGAAAGTGGATGCTGTCTCAACTCTGAAGTTCAAGCCCTGCTGCTAAGCTTTAAAGCTTGTCTGTTTGCCATATTTTATCATAGTTATGTTCCATTGATTGAGCCTAATTATACATGCAAGCACATAGAATAATTGGTTTATCACAATCCTGATTTAATAATTCAAACACAAGCCCAGTTTACCGATATGCAGAATGGTTCAAGTATGCCACAACAGGGCAGTATAAATGTTGGTTCATGGCACTAGAGGGCAGTATAATCTTAAAATGTTGTTCTTCTTGGTATTACTTTGACTATGAAAAAATTCTGTGAAGCTCATTGTGACTGCCTGTTTTAAAAAGACCCCCCCCCCTAAATTATTCACTGCTTACAATTTTCTATAGAATATGTGATCTGTTGCAAAAACAATTTTAGCATTTTTTAAAAGAAATCTTTCTGGTGTTGGATTAATAGAGGAGAGTAAATTTAAATTCATTGTAGTAAACAGAATAAACTTTCCTTTGTCCTGATTATATAGAGAGAAGAGGCGGGCTACCAGGTCACAGCAGGCCACAGACAAGTCAACTCAGGAGCCAGGTAATGTCTTCTCACTAACAGTTGACCCCATATTGCATTGCGGTTGATAATACACCATATATCACATGATTATATCAGTAGTCATTTTAGTGTAAAATATCACTGAGGTCCCTGGGAGGGGGGGGGGGTAAATTTTTTTGTGTTGAAGCTTGCCAGGTTACCCATGTAAAATAAATTAATTAACTTTTATTTCTTTAGAGTTACCAATGTTACCATGTTCCAAATTACTACAGCCTCTAGTAAAATATTCAGACCATTACATATTTCATAAATTGTCTCATGATTCCAATCCAACTTTAGAAATTATTTAAGCATGCAACTTTTAAATTCCGTATTTGAAGGCGAAACAAAAAGTACAAAACTAAAACATTCAAGAGTGAACTCAAAACCAAGGACTGCAGGACACGCTCTACTGAACCAAATGCACTCACTACCACTCTAGAACAATTCCTACAGTGAAACAATACCTGAATTAAATTTCTGATAGCTTGCATGTAGATCTCCCAGCATTGTTGTTTATTTATTATCTGACAAATGTTTTTTTCATTCTCAGATATCATAGGAACGAAATTTCCCAGCCAAAGTAAAGCAACTGCTACCAGGAGTTTAGCCAAGAAAGACCGACGTCAGAAGCCAAAGATATCAAACCCTCATGATTTTCGTCCTGGTTTAAGTGCAGGTATTAGCGGGACAGCTTTTGTCGATACGGCGAGTTTGTCTAGTGCTATATCCAGTGTACCTGGTGGAATAAATGAAGATAGAATGGCTAAGATGGCAAGGAAAGCTGTTAGTGATGGGTGAGTGCAGTGCTTTTGTTTCCACTGCTTCAATACCATGATATATAACTTACAAGTGAATTAAAATAGACTAGAAGCTTTATTGTTGCTTCGATAAAAAAGCTGTGGGCTGTGATGTCTTCTCACTGTATGTATTTTCACAGGTAAAACATCACAACATGCCAGCTTGCTGCTTTATATGTTGTCTCCATTTCATGAAGGTTTTGCTCAATTTATAAATGTCATATATATCTTTTTGACAGACACAATTTGCATATTTATTATTTTTTTCATAAATTTGTTGTCAAAGGTTTACATTGTTTACTGTTTCCTACAGGTCTAGATCAAAAGGATGTGTTGGTTTATTGTTTTTTAAAAGTAGACATCGACGATTTAGCATCTATCTGAGCAACTGCCATTTTTGTGAAGCTCAGGCAAAGCACTGTGCCATGTTATCATTACCTTTACAAGCTTTTGAGCATGAAAGTCTAATTTCTTCCTTACTTTTCCAAAAAAGTACTATAGAAAATTAGGAATTATGTCCATTTGATCCACAATTAATAAAGAAGTTGTAGAAAAGTACATAAAATTTGCGCAAAATGTTTTACCAAATTGTTTGTGGTAAAAAAAATATGGCATTCTAAGAGTGTTAAGTATACTCGACTGATGAATAAAATATTTTGATTTGTATTACAGTGAATCTGATGCACAGAGTGATTTCTCATTGTTTGAAGCATTGCGCGAGAATATCTACTCGGAGGTTGCCACGCTGATATCACAGAATGAATCCCGTCCTCATTATCTGATAGAATTGTTCCGTGAGCTGCAGATGTTGAATACTGATTACTTAAGACAGAGAGCCCTGTACTCGATGCAAGACTTAGTTTCCAGGTACCTCACGGAAGAGAATCTCACCAGGCCTATCAAAAGTGTGGTAAGTTCAGTTGTATTTAAATACTATGCCAATCACCTCTGTGTGTGCTCTTAGCTGGTTTGCAACAATCCCATTCTATATTTTTAAGCAGGGTAGATTAAACTACAGGTGCTTCTTATAAAGTGCATTATGTGGTTATTTTATATTTGATAATTTATCTAATAGAACTCGTTTTTCAGACTGGTGGCTCTAAAATAGTTGTGAAATTTTAACAGATCCTCAATATTCATAATTCAAGTAGATTGATTAGACATTTCTATATGTAAAAATTATAAAAATGTGCACATATTGGGATATATGATGCAAACTTTTTGTGTTCAATTTTAACAACTACTTCGATTACATGTAGGATTTGTTCTATTAGTTGCGCATACTTTTACATAAATGAGAG